CCTGTCCTCACAGCCAGGGCAGAGGACCAGGTGACAGGTGACGAGCTGGCTCCTGACCCTGTCCTCACAGCCAGGGCAGAGGGCTAGGTGACAGGTGACAGGATGTCCTCTGACCCGGTCCTCACAGCCAGGGCAGAGGACCAGGTGATGGTGACAAGCTGCCCTCCGACCATGTCCTGACTTTCCCTTGACCTCGGTTTCCCTCTTGCAGGCTGAGTGCCTGCTCACCTAGTTAACCTCCCCCAGGTGCCATCCCCACATTCACGGGCCTTCCTGCCCCAGCGCCTGCTGCACGGAGGCGGCCACCCACTCAGCAGGCATTGGCCAGGCCCTGCCGGCCCTGCGTGTGGTGCTCAGGACGGTGTATCAGTCAGCTACTGCTAGGTCACGACCACCCCAAAGCCCAGCTATTTGAAACAACAAGATTTATCTGCTCTCAGTTAGGCAGTTCAGACTTTCAGGGACTGCTAGCCTGTGATGCCCACGTGAGCGCGAGCAGAGGGGACACATGGCGGGTGAGGGAGGAAGATGACTGGGGAGGCTCCTCGTTCCTCCATCCGTCCATCTGTTGTTTACTGAGCTCCTGTGGGGGAGAGGCCCTAGGGAAGACAGACCCAGCCCTCGTGCCCTGGAATTCACCCTGTGGGCCCGGCCGGGCACAGTCACCAGCAGGGCAGCCCTGGCAAGGATGAGAAGGGACAAGTGTGTGGCAGGGGCTGGGTTGCGTGTCTGAGGGGTGGGCCTGGGGTCAGCCTTCCCGGCAAACACCGGGCTGCGTTTCTGTGAATGCGCGTGATAAGTTCACGGTGGTTTTGGCGACCTGGGTGAGTGAGGGAGGCACTGTCCACGGGCTGCTGATCCTGTCTCTGAGGCAGAAGGTTTAGCGGGATGGTGGGTCGTTCTGGCCCCTGCAGCCCGGCGACCCTCCCGCTGCAGGCTTGCTGTTTCACCCTCTGTGGGCTTCGATGGTGTGAACATATTTAGTATCTTCCTTAGGATTCCAAGTGGGTTGAAGAAAAGCAGCTGCTCATTAGGACAAACCAGGACTTGCTGGAAAAGGTACGTGACGTAACCCTCCCACCCGGACTCAGAGAACCGGAGCCCAGAGCCGATGGACCCCAGGCCAGGGCCCACATGGCACGGGTTGCACACACCGCCCCCTTTGCTCACACCCCTGGCCTCCCCGGCCCTCACCAGGAAGACATCCCCTGCTGCCCCATGACCCTGGCCACTGGCCCTGGTTGTCCTTGGTGGGACTCCAGAACAGGCACAGCTTCGCCCGGGACCCTGCAGGGTGGTGATGATGTCAGCGCCTCTGCCATGTTTGGGGGTCCCGGGGCCCCTCAGCCCCCAGGTGGAGTGGGCAGTGTCAGAGGCCAGGTCAGACGTTCAGCCCATGGAACTTGGGCACCATTTCCCGGGAGTCCACCCAGACCAGGCCTCAGCTCTCTTTCTCATTCGTGTGCAATTTGATAACATTTTTTGTAAATCTGCTGGGCTGCGTGGCCATTGCCACATGCTATTGTAGAGCATTCCTACCCCACGAAGACCCCAGCCCCTTCGTGCTCACTTTCGTACCCACCCAATCCCCCAGCAGCCCCCAGCAGTCCTCAACAGCCCGCAGCCTACTCTGTCACTTTAGATTTGTTTTCTCTGGACATTTCACAGCAGCACCTGGCCTGGCCTTAGCTCGTCAGCACCGGGACACTAGAACCAGGACAGCCTGCTCGGGAAGGGGGTCCAGTTGTCAACTCTGAGGCCCCAGGAGGGGGCATCCAGGCCCCGTTGTCTCTGAGGCGCTAGAAGGAGGGTTCCCTCCCCGTCGGCTCTGAGGTCCTGGAAGGGGGGGGTCTGGCCCCCTCCGCTCTGAGGCCCAGGAGGGAGGTCTGGCACCTTTGGCTCTGGGGTGTGGTGGGGGGTCCCGCCCCCTCGGCTCTGAGGCCCTGGAAGGGGGGTCCGGCCCCTGGCTCCGCCGCTGGCTGGCGGCTGGGCCTCCTCACCTCCTGGGCTCTCCGCAACATGTTGGGCAGGGGCAGGACTGGTCGCTGCTGTGCAGGCATCCTTGGTCCCACCCACTCCATTCTAGGAGCCCCTCTCTGCTGTGGAAACAAACAGAAAACTCTCCTGCCCAGCCCGTCTCCAGCATCCCTGGGGCAGGACCACCCGAGAGCCCCTCTGCCCTCCGTCTGAAGCGGGGGTCACGGGGCAGAGGCGCTCACACCCGCACTAGTGTGCATTGTTGAAAATGGTGCTGTTATTGACTCGTTCGGCAGAAGCTGGGGCAGGGGTGGCTGGGGGCTCTCCAGGGTCTCCGGCTGTTCAGGATAACGGCATCCTCACGCTTCTAGGGGCACTCTCTGGGGAAGGAGAGGGAATCCGTGCCTCAGCTGCTTTGGGTGGGACCTCTGGGTGGGCTGGTCCCAGGAGGGGTTTGGGAAGGATAGGCAGGCTTGGGGGCACCTCAGTCCCTCTACCTTTGACTTCAGGGACAGAACTTAAAGCTCCGTGCCTCAGTTTCCCCACCACTCAAGCTCAGGGTCTTTTGTTATTCCCAGCCTCAGGTTCGTTGCCAATCTCCCCCTTCCGCCCCTTACCCCAGTGACTACCATATTTTTATTCAAATAACGCACACCTTCTGTTTGCCAACTGCGCCCTCCCCCTCCCCGTGAGGTATTTTCATAAGCACCTTATACTAATTTTTTTTTTTACAGTAACATGTAAAAAAAATTGGCATAGTGGCGCTTATGAAAATACCTCGTGTGGGGAGGGCGCAGTTGGCAAACACACTTAGAAGGTGAGCGTTATTTGAGTAAAAATACGGTAGTCCCCTGCTTCCTCCAGGCCCCCCCAGGAAGGCAGCCCCTGATCCAGGGAGCTGTCTCCGCTGTTCACCCAGAGGTGTCTTTGTTCTAGATCTACAGGCTGGAGGTGGAGGAGAGCCAGCTGAAGGACGAGATGCAGGACGCCAAGGACCAGAACGAGCTGCTAGAGTTCCGAGTGCTAGAGCTGGAAGTAAGAGACTCTATCTGTTGTAAGCTCCCAAACGGAGCAGACATTCTCTTTGAACCCAAACTGAAATTCGCGTGACGCTCCCAGGTGCGTTCAAGCATGTGTGAAGGGACGCGTTATCGTTTCTTTTTTTAAACCTGTATATTCAGAGAATTTCACTGCCTTAACCTGTTCTGGAGAAAACCCTCCCCGAGGTCTGTGGACGTGTACCAGAGCTAATATATTCATTGCCGATGGCTTGTTTTGCACTTAATAAAATGATTTGTTTTTGCAATGTTTTGCCTTTTTCATTTGTGTTCATTCCCATGACTACTTCTCTCCTGCATGCGTGGTCACCTGGTGTGCGTTCTGCAAACTGGGCGGAAGCACCGTCACCATTAATAACACACCTTTCTCCGTGGCCTTGCGTGCAGAGAGCCCGCCCTTTGAAATAGAAGGGTCTGATCTGGCTGGCACCTGACTCAGTAATGTGTTCGATGCTGGTTTAGACCCGTTTTTTCTTTGCCAAGGCCAACACAAGGTAAGTGAAGGTAGACAGAGTGAGAGGGGCCTTTGCAGAGGCAATTCAGAGAGCTAGTCTTGCAGCCCGAACTGTCTAGTGACCATACACCTGTGCGTTGCAGCAAGATTGGACTTAAAAAAATACGGTTTGTCACTAAATCTACAAGCCTGCTATTCAGCAAGGAGGGAGACTTAGAGCTGTTTACGTGCAGAAATTGTACTTCTGCGGCAGCTTCCCCAGCGCACCCAGTTGGAGGCCGTTTCTGCTTCCACTGTAAAGCTTGGCTCTGATGTGTTACTGTGTTGCCACGCTGCTGTTACTTCATTATCGTTTTCTTTTTCCTGTTGAAAAGTCACCGCCATCTTGAACATCACTTTTGCTTGTGGCTGGTTTCCACAGCACTTGTGGCGGGCAGCTCTGCTCCCTCCCAGATGAAACTTTGCATGTACAAAACCCTCGGTAACAACAAGCACCTCCGCCTTGCCGTTTGTGGCTCTGCTTTCGTTTCCCACCCCCCTCCCCGGGCTTCAGTTAATACTCTGTTTGCACCCGAACCCGCCATCTCTGTGCGTTGGTCTGTAGCACGAGCCGTGGCCAGAGTACTGCTCAGGACCGCGCGTTGCTGCGTTACACACCTCTTGCTTGAGCGGGAGTTGAGTATTTTATTAATGCCGCGAGAAGTCTCTGTTAATACTCCTGCCACCACAAGAAAACCCTTCAGAGGTCTTTGTTCGGCGTCTCTCTGGTGAGAATTCCACCCGCACCACTCAGCTTTCTGGAATTCTCCTCCTTAGCTTGCTCCAGCCTCCTTCAGAGCCAGCGGAAACCAGTTCCTGACTTTGGTTCAAGTAAAATGGGAGCTTTCTTGTGTCCCTGTTTCCACGGAGATGGTCTTTGAACGAGGCAGGTCAGGTAGAGAGGCGTCAGCGAGACTGAGCGTCCGTGGGTTGTGCCCTTGTTGGCTAGTGAGGGAGAGCCCAGGCAGGGCTTTGGGGATTCACTGAGCAGTGGCCCGCCTTCCCTCAGCCTCACCGAGGGTACCTTCTCACGACCTACATCTAGTGATCCTCTTGACGACATGCCTTAGTCCAGAGACTGAGGAAGCCACTGATTCTGTCGCTCCTGGTGCAGGAGTGGCCCAAAGCCTGCTGTTTGCATCTTGTAATTTTGACCGAGTGGAAACGGTTTGTTTTAAAGGTGTGACGTTGCCATCACGGCTGCTCTGTTGGTTGCTGAGGGTTTCAGGCTGGTCTTCGTAGGGAGCACACTTTGTATCCGAGCGCTGTTAAGTGCTGGCCTCTGCTTCTCTGTGTAGTCAGGCGTCCACCTGAAAACGGGTTACTTTCCATGTGACTGATGGGGCCCCCATGAGTCGGAATTGATTCAGTGGCAACTGGTTCATTGGTTATTCTGGGAAAATGCTTGTTTTTCCTTCCTTGATAACAAGGGTTTGACTGTAAATCTGAGGCAGGAATAGAATGATCATGGATTTTGTTTACGAGTTGCCGTCGAGTCCACCTCAACTCCTGGCAACCCCACGTGTGTCAGAGTAGAACTGTGCTCCGTAGGGTTTCAGTGGCTGATTTTTCTGAAAGTAGATCAACAGGCCCTTCTTCCCAGGTGCCTCTGGGTAGACTTGAACCTCCAACCTTTCAGTTAGCATTTGAGTGCTTAACTGTTTGCACCACCAGGGACTCCATTGGTTGTGTTAGTAAGAATCAAAAAACATCATGAATGAAGTCAGCAGATTATCCTAAAAAGAATGTGACGGGGTCTGGGTCTTGCCCTGCTGCTTGCTGGCGTGAGCCTTGGCCTCGGCCCCCAAGCCCCTGCCTCTTTTCTACAAAATGCAACAGTGGTGCCTGCTCCGTGGGGTGGTCCATGCAGTACACGGGGTTGTGAGGTGCCTGGCACGGAATAACACTCCGTCACTGGTGGCTCTTGTTATCCTCTGAGGTTTGGTGCAACTGGTTTCATTACTATTGCGAAGATGGTTCTGTGACTTCAGGAGTAAAATCAGGATGCTGTGCTAACGGTTTCCCCCGAGCCATGTAGGTAAGGAGGGCGCAGTTTCCGGAAAGAGCTTGCGCCGTGGGAAGGTGTGAGAACGTGGCATTTCATGGGTGAGGAGATGGTAGTCTGAATGGGTGCTTTATAATAATAACTTTGCTGCTTGGAACTTGTAGATTTTTGCTGAATAACGTGGGGAAATGGCAAATGGTAAACAACCCAATAAAGTTCTGTTTTTAAACCGCGTCTTTTTCCCAGGAGAGAGAGAGGAGGTCGCCAGCCTTTAACCTCCAAATCACCACCTTCCCCGAGAGCAACAGCAGTGCCCTCCAGCTGTTCTGTCACCAGGAAGGAGTGAAGGTAGTGTGCCGGGGGGCGGCTCCCCAAACAGACAGCCAAGGGTGCCTGGACACCAGGCTGGGTGCGAAGGGGGTATGTCCTTATGCCAGTGACAGAGTTGGTTTTAATGGGATACCCTCCCATCCCTCCATCCTGTTTTGAGTCATAGCTTGTTTACCTGTTCACACGCCCCCAGATGTTAAGCCGTAAAATAGCAGAGACCAGGGATGCAGCCTTGAGCGCAAACCCCAGCCCAACTCCTAGCTCTGGCCCGTAACCTCTCTGAACCACAGTCTCTTCGTCTGTGAAATCCAAACGGCAGCACCCAAACCATGCAATGGGTGTGACAATTACAGTCGCATGCAGCTGAGTGATTCCTGTGTGTCCTGCTGGGCCCTGGGGACACAGAGATGGCCCTTCCCACACCCACGATTCCGTGGGCATTTCTGGAAGCAGCGTCTGTACTGGCATAGAGCTCAGCAGGCAGCCACTGCGGGGCCCCGTCCAAGTGTCCGGCCAGCATGGCCTTTGCTCCCGGTCTCCCTGGGGACAGCTGAGGGCAGCGCTGGGCTTGCCGTGGCACAAGCGAGGGTGAGGTGTGCTCTTGAGGAGACAGGTGTGGCGGGCGCGGCCCTGGTTGTCCCCGACAGTGAACGTTGGAATCTCTTCCAGGACGTGAATGTGTCTGAACTTATGAAGAAGTTAGATATCCTTGGCGATAACGGGGTAACTATGTGCGCTCGGTCCCCGGTCTTGTGTCCTTTTGATCTGGGTGTGCTCTGTGTGGCTTCTTTGGTTTTGATTTCTCCCTGGTTTAAGAGCTCGATCAGCAACGTGTACTAAAGCTTTTGTATGGCCATGACCCAGTGTGGGTGGGCTCCGAAGTCAGGCTGTCCTCGTGGAGTGTGACTCATGAGGAGGGAGCACAGAAACCGACCCAGGAGAAGGGGCGTCACGGACAGTCCGAGGTCAGAAAGTGACCTTTTACCACTAAGGGGCCCTGGCTGCTAAGTGAGCTGTCCCCAGCCAGGGGGACGGACTGCCTCTGACCACGTCCCCATGCTGAGCAGAGGCTGCCCCTCGGAACCCCGTGTGGCCAGCACTACCGTCTGCAAGTGGTCTGGAGTCCAGCCTGAAACACCCCTTTTTGTTGTAGAATCTGAGAAATGACGAGCAGGTCGCTATCATCCAGGCTGGGACTGTGCTGGCCCTGTGCGAGAAGGTAGACCCCAGTGTCTGTCTGTGGCCCTGCCCTGCGCCCAGCTCCATACAGAAACCACATGGGTGTCGGTGTCTGTCTGTGCCCCTGCCCCTGCGCCCAGCTCCATACAGACACCACATGGGTGTTGGCGTTTATCCGTAACCCCTGTCCCCCCACCAAGCTCCATACAGAAACCA